TGCTCCTCTCCAAGCTGTCAGGCTACATATCGGCAATTGGATTGGTATCGGCTGATACAGCTGGTTAAGAATCGGCCATCAGTATCAGCCAAAAAAATCTTTATTGATGCACCCCTAATACCCTTTACACATAAGAAGGATTTTTCAAGCTTTGTTAATATGTTGCTCCTGAAATTAAGATTGACAATAAAACTAGTAATGAGTGTTAATTGTAGGGTGTATAGTCAATGACTAGACATCAACTAACTTGATGTTGTTTTGATAGGTTCCATTTTTCTTTAAAATTGGACAAATTTATAAAACAATATTTAATAAAGAATACAAAAACACCACAATAGTTACTCGCTAAGCTGCCCACTACCACTTAGCCTACCCTAGAAAATACTTAGGAAAGCAAATTTATTTTGCAGCATGATTTACTTTTATAGCAAATTTTGGCTCTCATTAATTAGGCAGGTGTCAAAGTTTGCAGCTGAGATCCCATCTGATCTCCTTGTCATTAAATCACAGGACTGCAGGCTTAAATGTTACCAGTGATCTAAATTGTAATGGTGCAATATGCAGAGAGAGGGCCACACCTACTTAACACATTGAAGATTAAAATTTGTTTAAATTAGAAGCTGGCAGTCAGTACCCATTATGAGTACAGATGTTTCCCTAGTAGAACCACTTCTCTGAGCAGGTGGGCTTCTATATTCAGCACCAGCTGCATTTTCCTGCTTGTTAGGGAATCCAGAAAAATATAGAGATGGCACCCAGTACCAAGTCTTTACTTCTGTACCAACATCAGCCATATTTGATGGAGTCCCCTATGTAGGGAGACCAGTACTGCAGTAAGGGCAGTGCTAGTAATGCACCAGATGCCCTCCCACAGGGGGTGCCAAACCATATAGACAGTGACAGAACCCTGTGCAGAGAGGGGCCAGTCTCAGCCAGGAGTGGGTCTCACAGGCCACTTCCTGTGAGGCAGGATGGATCGATCCCAGCACACATCTGAGCACTGCTGCCCACCCTGCCCTGCCACTGCAACTCCCAGCAGAATGTGCCAAGTTCCTGCCCCAGTCCCATGTTGAGAAGAGGCCAGCTTGAGCCCAGCTGAACCCTCAGGCACCAAATATGCCTGGCTTGTCCCAGCCCTGGAAGGAACTGCCTGCATGTAGGTACAGAGAGCAGTCATGAGGGTAGAGGCAGGAGGGATAAACATTTCTAATTGTATTTTTTCCATCAAGTTCTTGCCCCTTTTAATGTGTGATGCTGGACATGCACAGGCTACAGCAACTGTGTGGGGATGTATGTTGTTTTGTGCTATATGCATATTTGTATATACTTAAGGTGTTCCCATATTGTATCATACAAGTGTCTTCTATCAAAAAAAGGGAAATAGTAATACATAATATATTGTTACATAATAGCACGTCGGGGTTGCTCTGCGTGTGACCTGCATCAGGTGCCAAAGTGTCTGGCTACAGCTCTGAGGATGATATTGAGCTTCTTCTCTAGAAACAGAAGTTATACATAAACTAGTTTCAGTCATCAGATACTGGTTTAAGCCTGTAACAGAACAGAAGTTCAGTGCACATAAACCATGTTCAAAATAGCTGAAACTGGTTTAAGATAAACCTCGGTGAATGTAGTATCGGGCTTAACTGATACAGGTCAAACCAATTTATGAAACTCCTGTCTCAGACCCCTTCCTGATTCAAGTTTAATCAGCATTCCCCAGCATCCCAGCATGCTTTCCAGCCCTGTTCTGGGCTGTGTTGCCTGCTCCAGCAGAGAAGGGTTTGGGAGCAGGGGGCGGGGAGGCAGGGACTGTCTCCCCACCAGGCAAACTTCATCTGGGGTCAGAGAGGGGGCTTAAACCCCGCTACTCCTGAGTACAGAGCTGCCCTGCCCTGCTAAACTTACTGCTGGTTGCAACTGTGGATTACAAATCCTGGAGGCACCTGGGAGCAGGAAGAGGAAGTGATGAGCACCCCTTCAGAGTCTTGCTTCTGTGATTGCAAATCCCAGAGACATCAGGGGGCAGCAGGAAGGGGAAGCAAACACATAGCCCTTGCTGGCTACATGCCAGAGAGCCATGCTCAAGCACCCCCCTGGCTTTTGGGCTGAGTCACATATGAGACATGTGGCTGCAAAAAGTAAATATCTGTTTACTTGTTAGTCAGTTTAATCTCTGCAGCTGAATCGATTCAGACTGTCTGTATTTAGCCCTTATGAATGGGCTGATCCTTGCAACCTCTAGTAGGCAACTTCTGGTATGGGTGAGAGAGAATGGCACGATAAGGCATTTTGCTTGGCACATGTGCCTTGGGGCAAGTGGTGGGGAAGGGGGTGGGGCTGTGCTGCCACAACAAGGATCAGGCCCCTTGCGGCTCCCCCGCCTTGTGCTCCAGGCATGCCAACATCTTGCAAATTGAGGCTGCCAGTGTTTTGGCACTCTGCCCAAAAATGTTGCCAACCCCTGCTCTAGAGAACTAGAAGAAAAATACCCTATCTTTCATTTGGCAAACATATTTCAAGTATATTTTTCAACCTGTTATATAGATCCTGTAAGATTCTTGGGTTCTTTTGGGTCTTATAAAAAAATCATGCATATACAAAGTATTATAGCAAAAGGAAACTGAACAGAATGGGAAGAAACAGTTACTTGCATTACTGAAAAAAGGTTTAGAATTGGAAAGAAAGTTTTTCAGTTTTTGTTTGTTAACCAAATAATTTTGTAGATTCCTGTTTAGATTCAGACTTTATATACTATGCTTAATGATACTGAAAAATAAATTAGAGAGATCTGGCAAGAGAAATTAATAGCAGATGTAGCAACATACGTTTTAGGAATGATTCCTTTAAAGAGGTTTGCTGAAGTTTATACTAATTGCAACTATCAGTATGCTTATCAAAAGAAACCAGTGGTTATGGTTAGGGACCTAACTAAATTAAGGCGGCAGATGGGCAGTTTTGCAGGCTGAGTGTGATGCTGACCTCCATTTTCATGGGTTTATTGCAGTGAGTCTTCCTCCTCCACTGATTGGCCAGGGGGCCCTGGCAGCCCTGCCCCTTGTCACTGTTTTGACAACAGGACTGCCTTTCATGCAGTCCCACCCCTCATCGCTGATTGGTAGAGAGGGCTGCCCTTCATGCTGCCCCAGCCCGTGCCACTGATTGGCAGAGAGGGGCAGAGCCACATGAAAATCAGCCTTCTCAGCTAATCAGTGGGGGAGAGAGGAGAGGTGGCTACCATCTTGGCCACTCCCCTTTGTGCTGACAGTCCCTCCTCCATCCCCGCATAGGCTGTGCAGCTGGGCTACAGCAGCTACTGGCTCCCACTGGGGAGCCAGTATTTTATTTTTAGTAAGTTGGGATTTTTTTCCCAGTGATTCCATGCAAAGTCTGAATTTGCAGCAGAAGTGGGCTGTGCGGAGGCTCCTTTAATCTTGCAGATTTCCTTGTGCGCCTCCCCCGCCCCTGCCACTGATTGGCAGAGGGACCCTGTCGCTCACTGCTTGGTCCTGATTGGTGGGGAGGCAAAAACCGCAGTTATAAATATGGCGCTGTTTTTGCCTTCTGGATGGTCATCAGCAAGCGGTGAGGCTGCAAGAGCTCCTTGGCCAATTAGAGGCAGAAGACAAAAACAGCGCCATATTTAAAACTGCGGTTTTTGCCTCCCTGCCAATCAGGAATGACTGGTGAGAGGAAAAAATGGTGTCATATTTTAAAACCATGGTTTTTGCTTTCCT